TTATCTTTCCAAAATCTTATATGTTTCTTTTTCCTGTATCTCCCAATAACAAAAGTGCACACTTCTTTTTACGATCCATGTCACGACTTAGTTCTTAATTTAAAATACGTTTAGTACGGTCGACAGTCGTCGAAGGAATGGTCACCCTGAGAGACACCCTGTCGCACGAAATCGTATTTTGTGTACGAGCGCTAACTGTCCAGTATCTATGTTGCATCATTTGACGAATGTATGCATACTTCACAATCAAGAGGCAGCATACAAATGACAAGTACTTGCATCTTGCTTTGGAATAATAAAAACTGTCCACAAAGTGGCAACGTGCAATCAGCCTCTCAATAGTCACTCCCTTTAATTCCTGAAGAAGTGTGTAGAGATATTTGTATTAGTTATGTCATGACTTCCATGTTATTGGGGGTGTAGTGTAGCCTGGTAGCCCCCGTAGCCTGGGGGCCCCTTATAATTGATACGGCAGATACAGCGCTAGCTACGCCCCTGGTGTCATATTTACTAAAACTTCATATGAATAGCATTGAATAAAATATACGGACAACGACAGAATATTTGTAAAGGTATTGTTTATGAATAAAAACTTCTAAATATTTGGATATTTGCTTGTAAAAATATTGATAAGAATAGATAAATCACAATACTATTGGGACATAAAATAAAAATACTATTATTTCCTAGTGATATTGGTAATACTACACTGTAAACAATGTGTGCCAGTTTATAAGGTTTTAATCATGTGTTTTATTAACACTGAACAACGCTAAGATGAATAATTTTGACAATGGTACAAACAAAATTGATACTAATGTCGTATCAAATAAAACACTATTAAATGCAAATTGTAACAACTATACACATTTTTCTATTGTAAGCCATCAACCGGTGAACGGCGGACATTTTGAAGAAATATGTTTTTTTAAACAGCCAACAATAGCACAAGGTATTTCACATAGTTCCAATGTTTTTCTTCGACCTTACAGATGTCTAACGAAACCTTATGGCGATGACAACTAGACGAGTTCAGTCTGGTGAACTGTTATAGTTTTTTTACGCAATTTGTGATGTGATATTGAATTACGTACTGTGGTATTGGTTCAGTCGACTAGAGTACACTATCTAAAGAATTGATGGTTTTTTCTGTTGTACATTTAGACAACAGGTGAAAAGTGAATGTACAAAAAAACATATGCAAACTCTTTCAGAGAATACTAAAAATTATATTTTTTTAATGCAGCTTCCTTCTATTTGAATGAAAATATTATAATGTCCTATGCATTGAGCTGAAATTTAATAAAACTTTATATTATGAAGACATTTATACAGATATATCTACATATTTCTGGAACCTACAAAGAAATATTACATCTATGAAGAACTCGAATTACTCATCATAGCAATTTCATCATTCATTTATTACGGCATCCGTAGGAAGTGATGGGACGGTCTATTCTAAGAGAACCCAAGCTTAGTAACTGTTGTTTTAAATTAGGAAAATCATATACCGTGCTTCGGGCAGTTTGATATTAATTATAGAATTATAGTTATGGGGTCATCGCCCTTTTGATCTATTCCTGTTCCCCATACCTAAGTGAAGTTATAACATGGAGATAGTGGTCGAATAGCTTTTATTGTTTTTTTGAATTATTGCCAGAAACACGAGCGTTATTCAGCGATTTGAATCGACATTTTTGTATATGTACCTATTACGTCACAGGCGGTCGTTTAGTCGGCGTAAATAGTTCAACACCTACAAACCAACCTGACTTCACGCTTTACGTATTTCAGAGAATTCTCACTATGAACTTGTTCTGCAAAAATTAATAAACGACAAAATAACGTTTATGAGAAACAGAAGACAAAATAATTTCTTAGTAAATGTTTTGTAAAACAATTTCACACCTTACTGGAACTGGTGGGTAGAAGTGTGGGAAACTACTTACCCAACTTATGGTACTACTAGCTTGGAATAATGAAAGAGGTCTTATTTCTATTAGTTACTAGCTTCTCGAGACTTCGTACGCACAATTCCGTTTGTCCCGTTCCGTTCGCGATTTTCGATAAAAAGTAAAAAAACGTATTGAATAAAAAGTATTCTATGTCAGTCTCCTGGTTCTAAGCTACCTCCCCATTCATTTTCATCCAAATCGATTTAGTCCTTCTTGGTTTATATTTAATATTCAGTTTGTGTATTTGTCAACATAAACTTTGAAGGAAAAATTTATACAGATAAATAAAATTGGAGTGTCTGTTTGTAGATAATATTGAAACAACTGCTTTTTACTACATGCATATGAATATACGTACGAAACCTATAACAAAATAACATTGTATAATTTTGTTATCTGTCTGTTTGTACTCGCTAATCTCTGAAATGGATAGACCCATTTTGGCAGAACTTTTACTTACTGGCAGGTAGCTGACGTAAATTGAACCAAAAAAAACTTCCCTATATCCTAAAACTCATACTCTACGCGGACAAAGTCGCGGGCAAGAGCTAGTTATGAATTTGAACAAATTAGGAAGTTTTTCGAACTAAAAGTGATTAATTGCTTACACAATTTTTCTTTAACAAAAGTGCTTGCCAACAAGACTGAGCCTACGCACTGTCTGGTGGAATATTTTTTTAATAGTACAATAGTAGGAGCCAGTGGAAAATTTTTACAAAATAGGTATATAGGTAATATTGTATTGTTAGCGAATATTTACTCTCTTATAATAGGCACTTTGTTTACCCAATTAAACTACCATTTTTATATTATATCTACTTGCTACTAACGACCCAATCAATCTCTAAAAAACACATAAAAAAACAGTAAGAATATTAACGATGCCGCTTCGCTTCTTTGACAGTTCTAGTTCTAAGCAAGATGCATTTGTCATTTGTAAACTGCCTATTGTTTGAGAAGGATACATAGGTACATGCATTCGTTAAATCGGTCGAGATGCAACGTGGATACTCCCTCCCTAATTATTTTCGTTTGTACGACTTAGCACTTATTTTAATTAACTTATTAATATTAAACCTGACTATTTTATGCCTATTGACAGGTCATTTTAGCTTGACACTGTATGGTTGGGCAACTGACTGCCGCGCAACGTGTCACAGGTTCGGATCCCGCACGGAACAATTCTTCGTGTGATCCACAGATTGTTGTTCCGGGTCTGGGTGTCATGTGTATGTGAGCTTGTATGTTTGTAAACGCACCCACGACACAGGAGAAAATCCTAGTGTTCGGCAAAGTTTCTTAAAAAAAAACTAAGCTAAAATTTTACTTGAACTAAACGTATCTCCAATCTACATTATGGAAATATTTTATTCACTTATTGCCATTTACTGAAATAATTATGAACATTAATATATATGCTATGTTATTCACAGTATTATGTACCTTATTTTTACTAAGAGAAGAGTACAAAGTGCAGTGCAGTAATCGTAAACGATTCATAGTACTTTATCGCGCCACATTCATGTAAAACAGACTTAAAATTGGCACTTATACTACTTTTCTTTTAATGTAAATAAACCTGAAATGGAACATAAATTACATGAAGATTGTAGAACCAAGTTATTTGTTACTCAGGAAAGAAAATAAAGATTGACTCAGAGGCCTTAGTATGAGTTTCTTTTACGTTTAAATTGTGATTGGTTGCTTCATTGGTGCCGGCCAATCAGAGCGCCGAACGCATACTCGTTTCGAATACTTTAAACGTAAATCCAAACTCGTACTAAGGCCTATGTATAGATGCAGTAGCTACAGATGTACTAAATTGTACACTTTTTAACGAAACGAATTATTTTGTAATCATTGGCTATGTTCAATAGATAATCAACGGTTAGTAATTCTATACTGAAAATATATTAGTCACTAAATTAATATAATAATATTGATTTTCTTGCCTGCATACTAAATAAGTTGACTGGCTGTGTACACCATTACCAAAATGGGGGTTATTTGTCAAATGCAGTATGTTAGATATGTATGATGGAAGTATCAACTACTAGATATACTAATATAGACAGACTTGTCGTAAATGTCTTTTTTTGTTAGGTCAAGTATAAAGTTTAGATTTTATGGCCTATGAATTGACGTAATTTTGTTTTAATAAACTACTATTTGAAAATCTATGAAGTTCAGATTAGTGTTCTGATTCAACATTATCTTTTTTTTATGGCATAAGCCGGTAAACGAGCAGACGGATCACCTGATGGTAAGCAATCGGTGTCGATCATTGACACCTGGAACACCAGAGGCGTTCAAATGTGTTACCGGTCTCTTGGGGATTAGGAGTTTGAGGATCGTTGGGGATTCAGGGATTAGGGAAATTTGGGAAGGGGAGGGTAATTAGGCCTCCGGTAACCCCACTTATATGACGAAACACAACACAAGCTTTGCTTCACGTCGGTTTTCTGTGAGGCCGTGGTATTACTCCGGTCGAGCCGGCCCATTCGTGCCGAAGCATGGCTCCCCCACACAAAACATATCTATCTACAACCTATCTCTATGTAATAATAGTGTTCGGTGACTAAATAACAAAATGTTTGAAACAACACTCTTAAAATTCCCAATTTCGCCCTACAGCGCCGACGCGAAGAGCAAAGTCTAAAGTGAAACTAAAAGTTTGTCACTAGGTCACAAGTTTCAATAGTATTGTGCAACAGGTATCGGGCATTAGAACAAATATTTGTTACAGTTCTCATTCCAACTCATGTGCCGACACATGCGAGCAAAGAGTTTCAATAAAGACGTGTCCAACGCTATTTATGAGTCACTAACGTATCAAAAAATCAGACATCGAATTACACGCTCGAACATTTATAAAACCACTTCACAAATCGACGTAAAACGACTTGGCACATGTGAACACCGAATTATGTTTTTGATCTATATTAATTACTACTTGCTAACTGTTTGGAAGTGTGCCAAACGATCGCGTGGAGTCATTAACACGAGCGATTGTCCCCTGCTCAATTTGTTCCTTGTTTCCAGGAATTTACCTGCCAACGGGCCGGTACTTCATGTACAGCAATACTGGAGTGTGGGAGATGTGCAGATACGTCTTCCAACCTAACAAGACTATTACGCCAAAAGAGGCACCCCCGAACATTTCAAACCTCACGGGAGAGATTTATACAAGTAAGTCGCAATTCATACACTATGGTACTTGAATATAAATCAACCAAAACCGTAAATCATTTAATATGACTGTTGGCAGCTTACAAACAGATAATAGAAACTTGGCGATAGAAGTTTCTGTGGAACATATTCCAATATTTTTGTCAAGCCATTGTTTCATTTCTGATGGTAATAAAAATGATACATTTCTTTCTTATAAATAAATAGTATTTATGATACATGACCTTGTCTCAGTTAATGATAGAAGTCAGAAATACATGACCAACTAACATTTTATGTCAGAACGAAAGCGTTGTAATAACGTTTGATCTATTTTTCGTAACAAGTGAGTGAAAAGTTCCGATAGGAAACGCGGCATTAAACAACTGTTTAGCATAATAATTCCAGTGTGCATTAGTGAATTCAAACAATCGTTCCTTTTATTAGACCAAAGCTAACCACAACAACTTCAGCCTAGTTCACATTCCTTTGAAATTTCGCTTTTTACTGACGGGCGAAGCGAAGCGAAAATAGCAGTCCATTTCTAAACAAAGCTACCGCTCGTTGAAAAAGTCGACGAAAAAAACTTGAAAAAAAACTTGAAAAATTATCAGCTGCAACTGGCTGGTAACGAAAAACCGGTTTAGTATACCTACTACGTAATGTTCGCAGATAATACATATAAAAAAAAATGTGAAATGTTTGAAAATCTCACGTGAATTTTAACACTGTTCGAAACGAAAATCGTGTTTGTTTATTATTTTTACTTGCCACCTTCTGGTTTTCCTCACTCAGTTTGTCCATTAGTTCCCGCTGGTTTACTTTACTACGGCGTTGTTTTCTTTTCTTAGTTAAGAACAGCCAAGGATTTAATCTACAATTAATGCTCATCTGTCAGCAGACGAGAAGGTTGATAGATAGAGGTTAATTTATGTGGAAAATTGTTTACACTGATACAAGGGCGAAGAAAATGTTATTGTTTATCAAGAATTTTATAAATACTGGTTTGTTTCATCATCACCGTCAATAGCCCATGAAATTACACTCCTGGATAGTGAGCCTCGTCTACATTAGAGTGTTTGTCGTAATCGTTGTTATACCTAGAGTGCTGATACTCGGTCTCGTTCAGATGTGAACTTGGAGTGTCAGCTTTTAGGACATTTACGGGCAGTTACCTGTGGTCTCAATTTTGTTTACCATATTAAACTGTCAAACACCAAGCAGTCACCGGTGACCGCAACCTATTGTTCTATAATTGTGTCTACAAAACCGGTACTCGACGAGTTAACTAAACTAGGCTGCATGATATCGCCGCGACACAACACGCTGCTCATGAGGAAGAACCCCTCTGTGGTTCGAAACTAGTGGAGCTTTTCTCAGTATATTCATTTGAGTAACTCGCGATTTTTAGTTAATTTAGTATGTCTCACGATAGTTATTATACCTCTAAAAACATTTGTTTACCATGGTTTCAATATCTTATGTATGAAAATTCAATAACCAAATGTTTAGTCAAATATTGGACTGAATTCAAAGTATTTAGAAAAGTCGCATAATATGACTGCCACCGCTAAATGTGTGGTATTTTTATAACAGGGAGTCTGCCCCTAATGACTTCTAATATTAAAATACTTTTTTCATTCTATGCGAGTGGAATGCTGAAGTGGAATTCTGTATGGGTATTTTTCTAGTTCAGTTCTTAATTAATTCTCACATAACAATGAGTGGATATATCAATACAATGAGTCTATAGAGCGGCTGGTCGTTCAGGAGGAAGTAGAGGGAACCAGATCACGAGGCAGATCTCCTATGCGCTGGACTGATCAAGTCAAATCGGCAACGGGAAACCCAGTGTCAGACTGCGCCAGACAATCCACAAACAGAGAGAGATGGCGGGAGATCGTGAGGAAAGCTGTATCGGCCACCAACACAAATACGGCCGCCTCAATGTGACCACGACCGCTCTGCCAAGAGCGAAACGACAGAGAAGAAGAAGAATGAGTGGATGTTTCAGACGGTAAAAAAAAATTGTCAACTATAGAAGTCTTCTTTAGAATTTTCTTTTAGGTTTTTACCAAGATCTTTATTGATGTTTTACTCTTTTTACGTGTATTGAGTATTTCCAAAATACGAATTCTTTTTAGTGCCAATATTGTTTGAGTCACGGACTGATAAACAGACAGAGGTATAGGTATAGTGGTAATGATATATCATGGCTAGCAGATAAAAAGTTTGGATTATAGTCTAATTCAAATTTGTTATTTGTAAGACTGCCTCGTTGGCCTAGTCGTCGCAAGTGCGACTGCCGGGTAAGGGGTCTCGAGTTCGATTCCCGGGTCGGGCAAAGAATTACTTGTGTTTTTTTTAATCTCAGTAATACCATGGAGTCTGGATTAGTGCCCGGTATATGGCATTAGGCTCACCCCTATTACATTGGACTCATAGCAATAGTTAAAAGTGGGTGTTACATTGTACAGTGGCATTAATTTCCGTAATGGGCACCTCTGTCTAGCCCTTTAGGGATAAATGACGTGATGTTATGGTGTTGTTTCAAATGTTCAATTTGCGTCTAAGAATTTATTTTGTAGACAAATAATTAAAACATTAAATTAATTAGGTACTGCATTATTTGTGTTGATACACATATATACGCTCTAAAATATTAATAATTAAGTAAATAGCTTTGACATCTTTATTTATATTATCACAGATTATCTTAATGGCCCATTAATTTTGATTACGTCGTCGCAAATTATTTAAAATTAAACTTTTGAGAGTTTGAAAGCCATTTCTTGTAGGTTTCCCTACAAAACTGGCGTATTTATGAGTTTCGGCGACACAGATAAATTAGGAAAGAATTAATTACCGGAACGTAGATTGATGGATATTCAAATTCCTTTAACAATATTGCTGTTATAAGGATATTGTTATTATGGCAGTGAAGTAGAATTCTATCCTATATTATACTGACTGCCTTATGGCCGAGTGGTCGCAAGTGCGACTGCCGGACAAGGGGTCTTGGGTTCGATTCCCGGGTCGAGCAAAGTATTACTGGGTTTTTAAAAAGAAAATCTCAGTAGTAGCACGGAGTCTGGAAATGTGCCCAGTATATGGCAATAGGCTCACCCCCTATTACATGGGACTCATAAATAGTGAAAAGTGGGTGTTACATCTGTGTGCACCTCTGCCTACCCCTTCGGGGATAAAAGGCGTGATGTTATGTTATGTTATTATGATTGTAAACATTTAAATTTGTACATGTAATAGTTAGTGACAACCTACTTACTGCTGGTACATCTCCTATTTCGTCTCCTCGAAATAAAGGAGGGCTTTTTTTGCCATATCACAGTGGAAAAAGAGTTTTACTATTTTCTCTTTGTTATAATTGGGTACTTTCCAGGTACGTTGCTCCACACTAAGAATTGAATAGCTTCCAGGGTATCAAAATTAAAAATCTAATTAGTCCGTCAGTTAGATAATGAAAATATAATAGACATGTATTTTTTTATTTTCTCGTATTAACTCGTCGAGTACCGTCATTATAGACACAATTATAGAACAATAGGTTGCGGTCACCGGTGACCGCTTGGTGTTTGACAGTTTAAGTTGCAATACTTAGATAAATTGGCGCTAAGTTTAGGAGTGGGAGGTCGTTACGTCATAACGTGCTACAAAATGTGGCACGCTGTGACGTCACACGAGATATTTCAAATCAATATATCATAGAAAGTATATAATTTTGAGAGAAAAGAAAAAATACGTGTGTAAAGTTTTAAATTAATGTACCAGACGGAAACTACCCTATTATGTAGTCCTTTATTCGACACTTACAACACACATAGGATGAGCGGGCGTAGTGACAAACGTATTTTGCCCCTCTGTTTCAACCACATGGCCAAACCTTTGTATCTCATTATTTTACTCAAAAACTACTGAAAACAAATCCACGCAACTTGTCTCAACAAGGATCTATAAAACTAGAAGTGTCAGTAAGTCATTCAAACATAAACGTCAGGCCGTTTCCGTACCATGTGTTCCCAAACTAATAATATTCCGCGTCATGCTATCAACCGTTGAATGGTGTGCAAAACCGTACCGATACTAGCACGTCAACCTTACCTAAACTGTCAAATATCTTAATTGAATACCAGCTTTATCTCTTTGTGTTAAAGTTCAGAATCATTTGAAAAAAATTGACAAATTTGGATATTTTGATTTGCTGTGTTGTACGGCTAACGGCCGTTCCCAATATTCAATCCATAGGTAAAGATAGATAGCTATCCTCGATAGTCAGTTAAAAGCTATCTATCTTTCGATGTCGTCCCAATAATTAAAATGTGTCTTTGCTATCTCTAGATATCAGTAGATAGGGTGCCTATCTGAGCCCTCCCATGTGTTTCATTGTATGCAGAGCCCCACAGAGTGCCACTAAGTTACAATAATGTTTTCAAAGCAACTTGTCATGTTTATATCACAAACATTTTGAATTAATTAACGAAACCTTATATTTTGCGCAAATTTTATAGTAAACAATATTTTTTTAATTTAAATATAACGAAAACTTCATGTTTGTGACTGGATGAGTGCGCGACTTGTAACGGAACGTGTTTGTTAAAACATTGACATTTGACATTGTTGTTTGTTGATTTTGTTTACAATAAATTATGATTATTTATGAACAAAGAATTGTTTGTTATAATAAATGAGCTTAGTAAGTATTACAGTTTGTGCTTTTCTAGCTTTAGATTGAAGCTTTTGAAGTTTAGTTCTATGGCTTTCACTGAACTTTTATACTTGGATTGTTGAATATTTTTTGTTGTTTGCATGAACATACATGTGACTAATAACTCGTGTTTGGTGCACTCATTGTAGCAAAAGAATATGCTATTGACGAAAGAAGAAGTAATGCAGCTGGTACAATTGATGGAGGTAAATCTATTGATGTTCAGCAAAGTCACGAATGCCAGCAATAACCATGCAGCTCAAGGATGCGACTTGGAGGATTAGGTATCACAGATAGT